GAATCGTAACATATTCAGTATTATATTTGTTGCTCTTATGTGCAACAGATGGCACTGTTTCTTAAAAAAAAAGAATATTTTTACCTGTCACAGGTGTGGTATCTATACTTATTCCCACGAAATGAACTGTATGGTAAACAAAAAATCTCAATTCCAACACAATGTCACACAACATAATTAAATCACAATGAAAATAAATCGAAATCTATAAAAATTTATTTTATCAATGCAATCAAAAACAATGAAATGGAATCATAACATATTTAGTATAGGGTGTGTTGCTATTACGTGCAACAGATACCGCTGACTTAAAAAAAAGCATGTTATTACCTGTCACAGGTGTGGCATCTCTATAATAGGTATATAAAAATACGCATGTATTTGAATGGAACGTTGTGTCAAAATTTCAAAGCAATCGGTGAAGAACTTTTGGAGATTTCAGCATTTGTTGCATTTATATCCAACAGATAACGCCGTTTTAAAAAAAAATCCTGTCACAGATAAGGCATGTATATAGTAGGTATATAAAAACACACGCCTATTCGAATGCATCATTGTGTCAAAATTTCAAAGCATTCCGTAAAGAGATTTTGAAGATTACCATCACATGAAAAACACAGTTTTTCAAAAGAAGCATGTTTTTTTTCCTGACACACACGTGCTATCTACATAGTATATATATAAAAGCCCGCTCGGACGCGAATGGAACGTCGTGTGAAAATTTCAAACCAATTGGTGAAGAACTTTAGGAGATTAGCGATTTTGAACAAACGAACATTTACATTTGCATCTATACAGATTTTGGTAGCAGTCTTTCTTGTAAACATATCTTGTTGAATATGGCCGAAAGGGTGACATTAATGATTGTAACAAGAATCTTCTCACTATTTCTAATGTTTTTCTTCACTGTCGAGGGTAGTTGAAAAATTAACTCTCCAAAGCTCATTTTCACACTTTATTTATGGTCTGATGCCTAGATGCATTTTGCAAAAAACTTCATACAGTTTCAAAGACAATTTTACATACTCTCTTAATGCTTATATTTGTTTGGGGTGATGTGACACAGGACATGATTAAGATGAACAAGTAAATCAATGGGTACACTGCGTATTTTATCTTCTTGCTTCTGGGTTGGTTCAGGGGTCTTGAAGTGGGTAGAATGTAATTACGTGTTAATTGCCTGTTGATTGTTGGTTATGACTTTTTGATGTGTAGGTCCTCGCTGAGGTCGAGTCTCCTAGTGCCGAGACTCTTCGTTTCTCTGGTGATGGTTTGGTTGTGAGAGGAGATTATATGCTCCTTGATGGAGCCCTGTTGTTTGTGCATTCATAGTCGCATAGACAGAGATGGTGTTGTCTTGTCTACATACTATTATAAATACTGAAATCACTATAATAGTTATCGGTCACCTAGTATTTAATATGAATGTAAAGTAATCACTAATAATATATATATACGTATATATATATATATATATATATATATATATATATATATATATATATATATATATATATAAATATTAGTGATTACTTTACATTCATATTAAATCCTCGGTGACCGATAACTATTATTGTGATTTCAGTATTTATAATAGTAGTGCGCGTTTGGAAGAATTTGTAAATATCTGCTAATACCATGAGTGCTTCGGCGGCAAGAAAAATGTTCATGTGAGATTAGCCTTGTGAGGCGAGGTTATGAATATACAACCTGTTTCTCTTCCTCCCCGATTGTTATTTCTTTGATTAATTTTATATTGATTATTTGCATTTTCTTATGATTCCTGTTAAAATGTTAGTAAAGTTACATAAGAAATTTGCTGTAATTTTATCTTCGCCGTTAACTAGACTTCTAAACAAATATGTAGCGTCGTTTGTGTTGATTACGTGAACAGATAGATGGATTAATAGATGGATAAATGGATGGGTAGATAAATTGATGCATCGATGTATAGAAAGATAGATGAATAGATCAATGAATGCACTGTGAAAGCTTTGCTGCTGTTAAATCGTGGCTCTGAAGGAACATTCTTGATCTGACTTGTGGGTGAGTTCTTGCGAGTACAGCTTACAGCAAACCTTTTATTGCCCCATTGTGCAGACGTCCTTGGCAGAGAATGCTTGAATGTTGCTACGTCCATAGCAACTCAATGAGCTTATCACTGAACAGGAGCAAAGACTTTTGGGTCTTTTAATTTTTCGTTGTATAATCAACAAATTTACCAATAGCAATAAATAGCGAATCGCTATTCCTAACTAACCTCAAAATAGAACTCAAACATTGGATATAGATTAAAGCAGTCTTTGATAAATGTATTTTTAAACAAGGTTGTTGGTTTATTGAATAAATTTCTAAGTATCACATTAGCATGTTTCAAGCATAGATAAAACATACATATAAAAACGTTTGGGTTGAAAAATATAGGAGCTGCAATGGAAGGGTCCAAAAGGGACCCTTCCATAGCAATTTCAAAATTTCATAGCAATTTCAATTTCAAAAGGCAATTTCCTTAATTTTTATGCTCCTCAGTCGTGAGGTTCCAGGATAGTTTTGTTCTGGACCGTCTCTGCAAGGCAAAGACTTCGCGTTCAGTTGAGTTTATGTGAAAAAACAATACGATTCTCTGTAATCTTAGGCCAAGTGATAATTTAGCTCTACGTCAAGACAAGCAATCAAGGTTTTGAGGATAACAAGTGAAACTATTGTCGAATAAGGGTCAATGTTCTTGGGTACGAAAAGCCACACATTCAAGCGCTAGTTTTCTTTTTGCACAAACAAGTATAACAGTTAGGTGAGATGTGAAATCCCTTATTGCTAAGAAGATTGTGATAAGAATTTTAATTTAACTGCAAATGTCAGAGATCTAGATGAAACCTATCTTACATGTCTGTCAAAATTTATTGTGCACGCGATAATATAGAACTATATAAACACTCTGTGTAAAAACTCTATGCAAATAAAGGGACCCAGTCTATGGAACTCACTCCCTATTGAATTGAAAAGCTGTCCAACTTTTGCATCATTCAAAAACAATTTTAAAAAGTACCTAATTTCATCTTCATAGTTTTTTACCTTTTGCTTTAAAACTGCACTGTATCTATTGCTACCCAATCTCCCAATCTTTATGTACCCAATCTGAACATCTTTATCATTGCGATCATTGCTGTCTTCTTATATGTACTGTCAATCTGCTGTATGGTGTCTATTAATCTTGTTTAAATTACCAATCAAACTGTCAATGTAATCAAACAGAGCTTTAATATACCAATGTGCTTTAATATACTTACTAATCTCTCTCATCTCATTTTTTTTTCTTGCAATGTATTTATCATTTTATTAATTCTGAAAGAATTTACCTACTTAAAATTATCTGTTAGATTAAGGACCTGCCCGAAACGCTGCGCGTACTAGTGGCTTTACAAGAGTGCAATTACTGTACTATGCTATGTATTCTCACAAACCCAATGTACCTTCTTGTATATAAATAAATAAATAAATAAATAAATATAAATATACAATTATACAATAATATGGAATTATAAGCATTGTGGTCTCCTAAGAATTAAAAACATTTAACATATACAATATAACTGTTTTAGAGAACTTGATATTTGCTGAATTAGGTAAATATTCATTTTTCGGCAGAGGACTTCAATTTATTGTTACTGTTCAGTGTTATGGCTATTGTATATATTACACATTCATGTTTTAAACTAATTAATGACATATATTTGTATGACTGTGAGGCTCTTGTACCATATCACAGTGAACGAGTGTGTGCAAGGAGGTGCTGGTGACCCGGTAATATATTGGCCACAATCATTCCAGCCTTGTTAATAATTCTCAGCTGTTGCTTTTTACATTTTCTGTTTGCGTGCTTCTCTTATTTCACTATTCATGATTCCTTTATTGAGATATAACTTACCATTTGTGTATTTATTTTTTTGGCTAATAAATTTGATAACAACTCATTGGTTTGTTGATTTTTCTTATAAAACATTTTCTCCTCTAAGATCATATCATTAATGTGTTTATATTTTTATGTTTATTTATTTTTTATGTTTATGTTTATGTGTTAATATAATTTAATTGCATAGTGGTATTTCTCAGAGTTCCAGACGCAACATTGTGTCCGATAGTATTGCAAAAACGGTTCAATAGGCTCGAATACCATTAATAAAATATTGCCTGTGAAAGATGACAATAAGTTTAACTTTGATCAAACTCAATGGAGTTATAGTACTATAGGACAATCTATGGGGGAAACAAGATCTCACTTATATACGATACATATATGTTTGCATATTGTTTAACTAGAACCCCGGAGCCCCCGGGAACACCAGGGAACCCCCGGGAACCTCAGGGAACCCCAGGGAACCCCAGGGAACCCCAGGGAACCCCCGGGAACACCAGGGGAACCTTTGGGAACCCCCCGGAATCCCAGGGGAACCCCTGGGAACCCCCCCGGAATCCCAGGGGAACCCCTGGGAACCCCCGGGAACCCCAGGGAACTCCAAGGAACCCTGAGGAACCCCAGGGAACTCTGAAGTTCCCGGGATATAATGCCTCCTCCTCCTCCTCCTCCGAAGCACATCTTCTCACTCCATATCCCACTTAATTCCGCCAACTCTTCCCTCCCACCTCCTTCTTTTCCGCCCCTCTCCCTTACCTCTCCTTTTCTTCTCTCCCATCTACCTTATTTTCTCCCTTCTCCCCAACCTTCCCCCCCTCTCATAAAAACCTCTCCCATCTTTTCCCTCCTCTCCCTTTCTCTCTCCCTCCATCTTCCCCGCCTGCTCTCCTACCTCGAACAAGTAGCCATTGCCCTTTATTTAAATACAAATAAATCTAGGGACTCAGCCAACTACCTTTCACTGATTACATGAGGTAGTCACTATGATACCTCATAGGCCATAAATACCAGTGCTGGATACATTGTTATACTGATGTAACCTATTGTTAATCTTCCTGACTACCTACAAGCAGAGGCACTCACCTACATGCCTAGACCGACCCCTCCAAGCACAAACCAGCACCTACAAGCTGAGGAAGGGAATTACAAGCAGAGGGAGACACCAACAAGCACAGGTCAGCACACACAAGCACTGGCCGGCACCTACAAATACAGGCCGGCACCTACAATCACAGGCCGGCACCTACATGCACAAGCCGGCACCTACAAGCACAGGCCGGCACCTACAATCACAGGGCGGCACCTACAATCACAGGGCGGCACCTACAAGCACAGGGCGGCACCTACAAGCACAGGGCGGCACCTACAAGCACAGGGCGGCACCTACAAGCACAGGGCGGCACCTACAAGCACAGGGCGGCACCTACAAGCACAGGGCGGCACCTACAAGCACAGGGCGGCACCTACAAGCACAGGCCGGCACCTACAAGCACAGGCCGGCACCTACAAGCACAGGCCGGCATCTACAAGCATAGGTCGGCTCCTACAAGCGCAGGCCGGCACCTACAAGCAGAGGCAGGCCCCTACAAACACAGATCGGCACCTACAAGCCCAGACCGGCACTAACAAACATAGGCCGGCATCTACAAGCAGAGGTCAGCCCCTACAAGCACAGATTGGCACCTGTTAGCAGAGGTAGACAACTACATGCAGAGGAAAACGCCTACAAGCAGAGGGAGACACAAGCAGAGGGAGACACCTACAAGCACGGGCCAGAACATAGAAATACAGCCCGGCACCTAAAAGCTGAAGCAGGCACTTACATGCAGATTCCTGCCTCTGCATGACAAGGCCAGAACTGACAAGCACAGGCCGGCACCTACAAGTTTAGGCTGGCACCTACAAGCACAGGCTGGCACCTACAAGCACAGGCTGGCACCTACAAACACAGGCCGGCATCTACAAGTTCAGGCTGGCACCTACAAACACAGGCTGGCACCTACAAACACAGGCTGGCACCTACAAACACAGGCCGGCATCTACAAGTTCAGGCTGGCACCTACAAACACAGGCTGGCACCTACAAACACAGGCTGGCACCTACAAACACAGGCTGGCACCTACAAACACAGGCTGGCACCTACAAACACAGGCCGGCACCTACAAACACAGGCTGGCACCTACAAACACAGGCTGGCACCTACAAACACAGGCTGGCACCTACAAACACAGGCTGGCACCTACAAACACAGGCTGGCACCTACAAACACAGGCTGGCACGTACAAACACAGGCTGGCACCTACAAACACAGACCGGCATCTGCAAGCCAAGGCCAGCACCGACCAGCACAGCCTGGCACCATCAAGCACAGCCCACCACTCACAAGCACACGTTAGCGCTTACAAGATGAGACAAGAACTTAGAAGTCCAGGCCGGCTCCTACAAGTACAGGCCTCTTCCTATAAGCACAGGCCAGCACATTCAAGCACAGGCCTACCCCAACAAGCTGAGGAAGGAACCTTCAAGCACACGCCGGCACCTACAAGCACAATCAGGCACCTACAAGCCAAGGCCGGCAACTACAAGCCCTGGCCGCCACCTTCAAACCCAGTTCAATACCTACAAGCACAGGCTGACTCCCACAATCCCAGACCGGCACCAGCAAGGTCAGGCCGGTACCTACAAGCTCAGGCCGGTACCTACAAGCACAGGCTAGCACTCACAAGCACAAATGCACAATACAATATGTTGATTCATTAGCATTCTAAAGGATTTACATAATTTTTTAAATAAATTATGGTCGGGCCTTATCTATGAATTATTTATATTACAGCATTTACTCTAATGGTAGTTTAGAGGATTAATAATTGAAGTAATAAAGTAATTAGTATTAGGTACAGCGGCTAACATCTGGCCAGGGTGCTGTACATGCCGGACCTTGGGGCTTCTTCCTGGGAGAGTTCCAGCACTCTTTCCTCTCCCCTGCGAGGCAGCAGACCTCCCGTATACTCTCCTCCACAACCCAGCGAGGCAGCAGACCTCCCGTATACTCTCCTCCACAAGCAAGCGAGGCAGCAGACCTTCCTAAGATCACATATAACAACCTTCAGAGATAACAGTAGACAACTCTGCTCCTGAATAAGCAATATCTTCAATGAATAAATTGCATTACTGTCAGAAGCATTGACCACTCGTCATTTTGTTTTTATAACCAGTGCAGGAGTTCAATATATAAAATAAGAAAAAGCAATAGATACGAACACAGTGCATACGAACACAATAATACAAACACGACGAATACGAACACAGTGAATACAAACATAGCGAATACGAACACAGTGAATACAAACATAGCGAATACGAACACAGTGAATACAAACATAGCGAATACGAACACAGTGAATACAAACACGGTCAATATCTAATAGACCAAGTTGCCTAACAAGCCGAATTTTCCTGAAATAATATTTTGTTTCATAATTTGTTCTTGTGAAATCATAAAGCTTTTTATAACATGATATATTTGTTGAATTTGAGTTAACACTAAAATAGAAATCTGATGAAACCTAGCCTAACTTAACCTACCCCTAACCTAACGTAACCTACCCTAACCTAACCTACGCCACCTAACATAACCTACGGAACATAACAAACGCAACCTAACCTAACCTACACAACCTAATCTAACCTAACCTATGCAACTTAACCTAACCTAACTGTGTCAGTAACTCGTTTTTGTAACACAATCTATATAAATAAAAATGTATGTTTGTTCAAAATCGTTAATCTCTGAAAGTTCTTCACTGATTGCTTTGAAATTTTCACACAACGTTCCATTTAAATACGTGAGTGTTATTATATACCTACTATATAGATGCCACACATGTGACAGGTAAAAACATGCTTCTTTTTTTAAACAGCGCCATCTGTTGCACGTAATAGCAGCACACACTATACTAAATATGTTACAATTCCATTTCAATATATCTGATTGCACTGATAAATGGAATTTTCATGGATATCTATTTATTTTCATTATAATTTAATTATTTTGTGTGATATTGAATTGGAATCGAGTTGTGTTGTTTACCATACTGTTCATTTTGTGAGTATAGTTTGTTTTATTTTTCGTTTTTTTCATTTCGTTTTTTTAACTGTTTTACTTATTTTTCAGTTATGGGAACATCAGATGATTTGATGATCCCGTTTTTCTGATCATTTGGGAATGCATTGGACGAAGGAGTGGAGAATGGTGGGGAGGACAAGGGAACAGGGAAGTGGGGAATGGTGGGAAGGACGAGAGGACTGGGGAAGGGGGATTGGTGGGTAGGAAGAGGGGACAGGGGAAGTGGGGGAGGGTGGGGGAGGACGAGTGGATTGGGGAGTTGGGGAATGGTGGGGAGGACGAGGGGACGAGGTAGTGGGAGATGGTGGGAAGGACGATGGGACAGGGGAGGGGTTGTTGTGGCTCAGCAACGTGCGTCCATTGATGAACCACAGCCACGCGTGCCCGGGTACAGCTAGTATATTAATAATAATTCAAATAAATCAAGTTTGAAAGAAATTTTTGAGTTTCTCTTGAGTAACAAGGGCTGTACCAAGCTGCTGTAACAAGGGCTGTACCAAGCTGCTGTAACTAGCTGCTATAACAAGGGCTGTACCAAGCTGCTGTAACAAGCTGCTGTAACAAGGGCTGTAACAAGCTGCTGTAACAAGGGCTGTACCAAGCTGCTGTAACAAGCTGCTGTAACAAGGGCTGTAACAAGCTGCTGTAACAAGGGCTGTACCAAGCTGCTGTAACAAGCTGCTGTAACAAGGGCTGTACCAAGCTGCTGTAACAAGGGTACAACAGAATAACAACAGTGCAACAGAATAACGAAAATATCTCTGCTTGTTAGGCAAATCGGTCGTTGCATGCTAGGACAAGTAGTATAGTTAAGGCTATTAGGAACAACATATATTAGAAAATCAGAAGGAGGAACCATTAAAAGGATTCGAACCCGCTCACGTGGTATTCCCAAGCCCACCCCTGAAACAAACTTCATCCCGACATAATCAAAAGCAATGCAACCATGGATTGAACAGAATCCTCTAGTTCAACTCTGCCAAAGCACAGGGGGACGGCACACCAGGCACAGTAAAGTTAACGACGTCATCAAGAGGACAGAGGACTTGATCATCACGGCAATTTTGTCCCCCTTACATCTCAAACTCTTGGCGCCTGAGGCACAATCGCGTGCCCCCAACTATTTTCAAGGATCTGGGACCTAAGCTTATCGAGACCAGTGACCCTTAGAGCAGTCAGCCTCCTTCTCCAGCGTCTCAGCTTGGCGATACACACAACATGGGGAATTCACACAACATTTAGGGTTCCTGCCCGCCCTTTGAGGAGCTGGAGGAACTCGACAGCCAGAAATAAATAATTTTGTACCTTGTATATATGTACCGTCAGCCTCGAAGAAGAGGATATACAACACCCGGGGGCGGCCTTGTCGGGCTCTCACGTGCGCTTGCGCATTTTGTCTTCTACCGCTCTTATTATATGAAACTGTTTATTTTATTTTAAATTTATTACTGAAAAGGAGTTAAAGACTTGGTTACAGACAAAGAACAAAGTTGTTTATCATTGACGAGTTCCTCCAGCTCCTCAGATGGCGGGCAGGAATGCAATGTGCATTTCCTCTCTGTATCACCACACTGAGGCGCTGGAAAATGAAGCTGGAAGCTCTAGGTTCTCTTGTTGTTTCAATTATCATGAACTAAGTTCCTTCAAAAAACTGGCTGGGGACAATTGGTGATCAAAATTGTAGTGGTGATCCAGTGTACTTATGAGACTTGGCTAATTCCTTGGGAGTGGCAGCGCCACCCAGATATGCAACACTAAAATCCATGTAGGTGATTGCCAGGGTTGATACGCACATGTAGTCCCATACCAACTGCTTTGCCATTTTTCCAGGGGTTCACTGTGATACCATCCTGGCGACCAATAAGAGCATCAGAGTTACGGGGCGTCAGGTAACGGGGCTCTCTTTCAGCTGGGCATCCAGCTGTGGTGAGGCTCCTCTTGATGATGTCGTTAACTTCACTGTGCCTCGAGTGCCATCCCCTTGTGCTTTGGCAGAGTAGGCCATGGTGGCCGTACCTGTCAGCCACCATCTCGCCGAAAATACACCTACATTTGGTGTGAATTGGGGCAGCAAGGCGGAGGGCCACAGCAGTTCGGAGGGCGTATGGTGTGAGACGCGTGCCAGTTGCCAACATTGGGGCTGCTAATATGAAGTCACCTGCATGAGAGGCTGGTACTGCTGTGCGGCGAGCAATGTCGTCTTGTGTTATCGCAGCATCTAGGCACTATCAGCTGTCCCAGCTGGATTGCTAGTGGGCTTTTTGATGGTGGTACTCGAGGTGCTGGGCCTGCACGAGAGGCACTCGCAGTGGTACAGTGTATAAGATTGGGATCCTGTACACCTGCCAGCTGACCTAAGTTGTCAGGTAGAATTTCCTCCACTAGGTTGTCAGATGCCGAGGTGGAGGACTGGAAGGCTGGAGACATTTAGAGTTACCCATACTTAAATTTATAAAGAAATGGCCTGGGGTTACAGAACTCCCCAGATCACATTCTCACGGATTAAATTATGGTCAAGTGTAAAATGTTGATGGAGATGACGGAAGACGGTGTCCCAGATCCTTGGGACAGAATGGACGAGATGCACCCCTCGTCCTAGTGACATAGGCCTAGCCATACGGCCTAGCCGTTAGAGGGCCTGATAGACAGCTGCGGCGGTAGCAGGTGTTCAAAACTCTGGTTATCAACCGTAGTGAGCGGTGGATAGTGAAGACTGGCCACAAACTGAGACAGACATTGCACGGTGCGGCAGCATCAGGTGTTTCTGCGAGGGGGAGCAGTGTCACGACGTGAGTACCCTCCCGGGGTACCCTTGGGCGTTATACCCTTTGCATTCACCTAGTTGTGCTAGCGGGGGTTGAGGTCTGTTCTTTCGGCCAGCCTCTCAACTGTCAATCAACTGTTACTAACTACTAACTATTTTTTTTTCCACAGACACATACACACACAGGAAGCAGCCCGTAACAGCTGTCAAACTCCCAGGTATCTATTTACTGCTAGGTAACAGGGGCATCAGGTTGAAAGAAACTGCCCATTTCTGTTTCTGCCATCACCGGGGATCAAACCCAGACCCTAGGATTACGAGTCCCGACTGCTGTCTCCTGAGCTATCACGACCCCCTGACAGCTGCCTCCTCTCTTGTGCCCAAACGTTGTGGTTCCCCTGAGCGACTGGTGTTGTTTACATGGGGAACCGAGGACCCTCACCTACTATAGTTATCTTGAGGTTATCTTGAGATGATTTCGGGGCTTTTTTTTTAGTGTCCCCGCGGCCCGGTCCTCGACCAGGCCTCCACCCCCAGGAAGCAGCCCGTGACAGCTGACTAACACCCCAGGTACGAATTTTACTGCTAGGTAACAGGGGCATAGGGTGAAAGAAACTCTGCCCATTGTTTCTCGCCGGCGCCTGGGATCGAACCCAGGACCACAGGATCACAAGTCCAGCGTGCTGTCCGCTCGGCCGATCGGCTCCCTCTCATAGCCAATAGATGGTGACAACCAGAAGTCAGACAAGACAACAGCAACAACAACAACAACAACACAGACAGACACTCGAACCAATGTGTATGTGGAGCACCTCCGGCCACCACAACCACTCCCACTCTACCATGGGTGAGGCTCCCCCTCCCCCCCCC